AAAAATTGAATTTCTAACCTAGTGCTTTATGAATTGATGCAACACTTGGTTGATGAATAGCAGAAAGGCTTGCTTTAATGACTACTGACAAGTTACAAAACTAAATGACAGAAAAGACTCTTTTCTAATATAAAAAAGGCTATTAGTGCTTAGTATTATCTTAGCTCCACCAAGATCTTTACCCAATGCAGGCAGGAAGCAGTTCTTGTACAGCCTCAAAGCATAGGTCCTTCACTTGTTGGCTGGGTGGCAGGATGGTTTCTGGTTTGGACTGCACACACTTTGTTGACAAATCTGCTTAGTTTTTATACTGTTTCTTCAAAACATTTTCTTTGATGGTCGGCCAATTAAAGTCTGAACAAAACAGGTAGGAAAAGGTTGATTATCATATTGTAACTGTTAATTGCCTGGCTCCTGTTCTTGATTATCCACGTGTAAAGACTATGTGTTTCTGCAGCCTTTGCAATTATAGGTCAAACACAGATGATGGGCCTTGCGTGTCAGACAGGATACTTAGAGGTGTCACCAAAGTTGTTTTTGGGTATATGTTTATCAATGGGGTACATTTGCAGTAGCTCATAACTTTGGACATACACTGAATGGTTAAGACATTTTTAACACCTTAGAGTGACATTGGATGCCTGTTTTAAGAAATGTGAGGATGTTATGTGCAGAACATTCTCACTGTATTCAGTGCTCCTTTTACATGTTTCTTTTGAGATGGGTATTTAGTCTTTGTTTTCTTTAGCTGCTAGGTCAATTGAAATGCACATGCAGTTTCCTTGCCTTCACTGGCTCAGTCTTTCTTTAAAGGGCTTTCTTAGGTGCACATACATGGACTCTGCCAGCAATTTTAACCACTTTTATTATTTTATGGCATGGGTCTGGTATTGGGTACCACAAGCACTCCACTGTCTCAACGCCTAATGGGTTGCAAGCCATTAGCGGAGCTTGATTTTCTTGTGGCCGTCTTGTTACCATAGCCCAGTCTTGCCCAGCCACTGTTCTGCATTTTTATGCAAGAGGAGCTGTTCAAACTTTCAGTTTTCATATGCAGCATGGAGCACCTTGCATTTCGCTATGTTGAAGGTCATCAGGTTTTTGTCCACCCACTCTGCAGCCCTGCCTAAGTCAGCTTGAATCCTCAGCCTATCTTCCAGTGTAACTGCGCTTCCCCACAGGTTGGCGTCATCTGCACACTTAGCCAGTCCACTTCTGACACCCAAATACAGATTGTTAATAAATATATTAAAGAGTACTGGTCCAGGTATTGAACCCTGAGGGATGCCACTGGTCACCATGTGCCACATTGACTTGGTTCCATTGACTATTGCTCTCTGGGTCTGACCATGGAGCCAGTTCCCCAGCCATCGGACCATGAGGTTGTCAAGGCCACAGTTCCCCAGTTTTGTCATGAGGACATCATGGGAGACCAAGTCAAAGGCTTTTTAAAAATCCAAGTATATGACATCAACCTCACCCCCCAGGTGATGTGTCACCTGGTCATAGAAGGAGATGAGTTTGGTCAGGCATGACCTACCTGTAATGAAACCATGCTGGCTGTCTCTGAGGATGGCGCCTTCTGTTAGCTTGTTATTGATGGATTCTTTGATAATTTTCTTGAAGAACTTTCCAGGCTGTGAGGTCAAGGTGATTGGCCTGTAGCTCCCTGGATCTTCCTTTCTCAAAGATAGGCACCACATTGGCCCTCTTCCAGTCTTCAGGAACCTCACCCGAGCACCATGAGTTTTCAAATATATGCACCAATGGCAGAGCTAAGATGTCAGCCAACTCTTTTAGCACTCTTGGGTGCATTTCATCAGGGCTTGCAGACTTATGGATGTCCAGCCTCTCAAGGTGCTCCCTCACAATGTCTTCACCAAATGTAGGCATATGGTCACCTGTTCCCTTGTAGTCCAGCGTCCTGTCAGGCAGGGTGATCCCCTTGGGCTGGTGAAAAACCAATGCAAAGTAATCATTGTGCTTCTCTCATGACACATGTGATATGGACAGTTTTTAGATCGTGTGCTCTTATAATGATGTAGTTTGAGAAATGCCATTATTTAGAGCGGGGGTGTTGCCATGTTATTTTGTATCTGTTATGTTGTCTGAAAATAGTGTTAGTAATGACAAAGTCATGCTCTGCACTTTCACTGAGTAGAAGGATGCTGTTGGAATTGGCCTTGCCCACTCCTTCCTTCCCAATTGTGCCCTTCCGTATGTTAAAGTCCCAGCCAGCTCTTGCACTGAAGTCTCCAAGGAGGATGATGATAGCAAATGAATTGTTTCTCAGTTGGAGGTGGAGGTGGAGAATCATGAGGCACACTTTAATGCCAACAGAGAATTCAGTCAGTTGACTAACAATGTGGTTATTAATGGTGAAACCAATGCCATGTATTCACCTGTTATGTGTAGGTTTCCCTTTCCAGTAGAACATATAGCCACCCCCCACACCCTCCCCACCCACTGTTGGCCTTTGTCTGCATGTCTGGTCTTGTTGAGAGCAGTGATATTGATGTTATATCACGAGTTCTTGGGCAACAACAGCTGTTCTGCATTCTGGTCTGTCACTATTTGGATCATCTAATAGGGTTTGTATATTTCAGAATGCAAAAGGCATTTTTGTCTTTTGATTGCAATTAGCATGACCCCCTGGAAGTGTCTATCTAGTCATGTGAGGTAAAGTGGGAAGCCTATGTTTGGGGCACCTTTTCTGTGGGGTGCGCAGAGGGGATCCTAAAAAGGACTTCTCAGTCATGATCACAGCTGTCAAATCATCCTCCTGTCCCATATCAAGGGTGAAGTGTGAAACAACCATCACATGACTACTGCCTGTGTGTGGATCCATGACTAGGGACTCACGGCAATCAGTTCATCTGTCCCCATTGCCACTCATCCATCACCACAGGACTTTGTAGAAGTTATGGGCATATTTATTGGTTATTGTAGTAGTTGTTGCACCAGTGGGAGAAGCCTGCACATAACTTGTTTTACATGAGGAGGCCATTGTATATCAATAACTGCATAGATCTTGGTGGAGGAGAAATCTGGGTACAGTGGTAAGGGAGTCCAAAACAACTGGTGTTACTCCTCCACTACAGCCTTCATCCACCTTCGTAGCCATTGAGAAGTATGCATTTTGCATCCGCCTGCTCCACCATTGAGGTCTTTGTGTTGTGTTGAACTGATCTTCATCTGATATCTTACCTTTGACCTTACCACTATGGGTGACCCCACCAGGAGTAAAGACTCACAGTCGTGTTGCTCTTCAGGTCATTACTACACATAAGCCTCTCCATTTCATCAAGCCAGTCCACCTCACCAGGCCAGAGCCAGGTACCAGGGAGTTGAAGCATGGAGGGCTCAAAGGGCCAGAGTTAAGTGCCGGGGGTTGAGGAATGGGGGTTGGGGCCCAAGAAATCATAATGAGGTGCCAGGGTATTTGGGCAAAAAGAGTTCAAGGGGCCAGAGGCAGGAACTAGGGGGTTGAGGCAAGGAGGAGTCAGGGCTCCAGAGTTAGAATCATAGAAAGAAGGACCTGTAAGTTCATCAGGTCTGGTCCCCTGCCATGGGCAGGAGGCAATTGGGCTCAAACAAGCTCAATGAGGTATTTGTCCAGCCTCCTCTTAAAGACTGACTGCACCACCTCTGTTGGAAGTATGTTCCAGATGCTAGTTACACATATGGAAAGGAATTTTTTCCTTATGTCCAGCTGAAACTTTTCCTCTAGTAACTTATGTTCATTGGTCCGCATCTTCCTGGAGGGGAGGTGCTTTTTTGAAAAGTTGTTCTCTTAGATCCTGCTGTTTTCCTTTAACATATTTGTAGGTGGCTATCAAGTCACATTTCAGCCTTCTTTTGCTCAGGCTGAATAAACCCTGATCCCAAAGAAACTGTCCCCCAGGCCTTTGATCATGCAGATGGCCCTTCTCTGCACCCTTTCAAGCTTGTCCATATCCTTCTTGAAGTGTGGTACCCATAACTGGACACAGTACTCCAGATGTGGCCTCATCACCCATTGTATAGATATGGTGAGGGTTCTTCCTACCCAGATGAAGGACCCGGCATTTGTCTCTGTTGAACCTCATATGGTTTTGTTCAGCCCATAGAACCAGCCTGTCTAGGTCTTCCTGAATCCTTGACCTGTCCTCTGATGTGCCCACTTGTCCCCACAGCTTGGTATTATCTGCAAACTTCATCATTGCACTTTTCACTCCCTCTTCCAGGTCATTAATAAAGATGTTAAAGAGCACGGGCCCGAGCACTGACCCCTGGGGTACACCACTGGAGATGACCTTCCAAGATGAGGCCACCCCATCAATTACAACTTGTTGGGATTGGCCGCTGAGCCAGTTCCCAACCCACCTCACTGTAGCCTGGTCTAAGCCAGTACTCTCTGTCACGGGGTGCGACACTAGGAGCGGCCGTGTACTTCTCCTAACGCCCCTACTGTGCCAAGTGACTATAAAACGCACCCTTGTTCTCCTCTGCCACATCTTTGCTGGTAATATTGCCAAAGGGAGGCTACCTTTTCTGTCCTCCTTGGCACGGTCCCCAGGCGTTCTCCTGCCTGTACCCTGTCTACCAATAATTCTGGGCACTCCCGCCACAGGGCTGTACGTGGCTCCTACCACCCCTAATACCACGTCCCAAACCTCTCAGATGTCCTGGACATTGTTGAGTCAGTTATTAGCCTCGCCCTCTCCTGGGGCTTCTCTCAGTGTGCGCTCGCCCTCTTCTGGGGCTCCTCACAATGCACTTCCTCACGATGCACTCGCCCTCTCCTGGGGCTTCTCAGTGTGCGCTCACCCTCTCCGGGGCTTCTCCCAATGCACTCGCCCTCTCCGGGGCTTCTCCCAATGCGCTCGCCTCTATAGGATCGCCCACCCCTGGGGCTCATCTCTGTAGGATCGTCTGCCCCTGGGGCTCATCTCTATAGGATCGTCCACCCCTGGGCTTCTATTCTTGTGTGCCCACCCTGGGGCGTAACACGAGTACCCTCTGGGCTTCTTGCCAGTGCCCACTCTGGGGCTCCTCACCATTGGGGCTCAGGTGGCCATAGCCATGCCTGGCCCCTAAATCCACCATGCCCCTTTCACAGGGCTGGGGTCAGTGCCCCCTGAACGTTGTGCCCTCCCTGGGCTTCTTGCCTGTACACCCCTCCCTGGGGCTCTGCCCGCACTAGGGCCTTTCTCTGCGCTTGGGGCTCAGGTGGCCATAGCGGTGCCTGGCCCCCCCAATGCACTGTGCCCCTCCTCAGGGCTGGGGCAGTGCACCCCTAACTGCAGTGCCCTCACTGGCACCAGGGTCCCCACCGCTGTGGAGCCCCTCTGAGGCCTCCTCCAACCCCTATCAGCCTCACCTGGTCCTCCGGTTTAATATTAAAGCAAAACCCTAAGCCAATCAGCTGTAACACAAAAACCAAGCCTCCTGGCTGAAACACACGCTCTAGCCCTCTGGCTAAACCTCACTCAAACCCCTCCCCGGGGTTTCTCCTCACCCGGGAGTTGTTTCAGGCCCTTGGGCATCTATAGACTGCAATGTTTCCACAGAGCGCCCACTCCATCAGCTGCCAGAGGAGAACTGCTTACTTGGCCTCAGCCTAGGCTGTTTATATAGGCCAGGCCCTGCCCCCTTCCGGTCAGCTGACCGACTACGGTTACCCCAGCAACCAACATCTGTATCTCTTCCTAGGAGCAGGGCACCAAAGTGCCCCTGCGACACTCTCCAACTTAATTGAGAGGATTTCATGGGAAACAGTATCAAAGGCCTTGCTGAAATCGAGGTAGATGACGTCCACCTCCTGTCCCATGTCTAGGTGGTTAGTTACGGGTCATAAAAGGACACCAGGTTTGTTAGGCATAGCCTTCCCTCTACAAAACCATGCTGGTTGCTTTTTAGTACCCCACCAGATGTGAACTTCTGGTAGAAGACCTCCTTGACAGTTTTTTCAAAGAACTTCCCCAGAACCAAAGTCAGACTGACAGGTCTATAGTTGGAAGGGCCATCTCTTTTTCCCTTCTTAAAGATGGGAATCACGTTCGCCTTTTTCCAGTTCTTAGGATCAACTCCTGAGTTCCACATCTCCTTGAACAGCCTTGCCAGAGGCACCACTGTGAGCTCAACCAGCTCTTCACCACTCTTGGGTGAAGGTCATCTGGACCAGTCAACTTGAAAATGGTAGCACCAGCATCCCTGCCAGTGTTAGGCTTTGATGAGTCAAAGGTTTGAGACTTGTGGGGATGTAGCATGGAGGGGCAAAGGTGTTAGTCTGCCACTGAGTGGTTAAGGCATGGTGGGGGTCTAGACACCAGTCAGGAGCCAAGGGGTTGGAGTATGGAAGGGTCAAGGAGCCAAAGTCAGGTGCCAAGAGCTTGTAGGGATGAGCCTGAAGGGTCAAGGTGCAAGAGTCGGACACCAAAGATTGGAGCCATGAAGGAATCAAGGTGCCAGAGCCAAGTGCCAAGGGGTTGTGGGGTTGCAAGGTTGAGAAGCAGAAGATTCAAGGCCCTAGATTCAGGAGACTAATGGTTAAGGGGCTCAAGTTGGGATCCAGTGGGTTCTGTTGTTGAGATGTAGATATAGCTAGGTGTTGAGTTGCTGGTGTCAGGATCTGAATTTTCTAGGTCCTGAGGGCCCAAGGCACTGAGGGGTCGAGTTGTGGAGGAGTTAAGGTGCCCAATTCCATCACCAAGGACTAATGTGTGGAGGGGTGAAGAAGCTGGAGTCAGACACTGAGGGCTCAAGTCACTGTGGTGCTGAGGCACTGAATAGTTGAGATGCCTGCATCAAAAGTCAAAACTTCCAGGCACCAAGTGGTCAAGGCCCAGAATCAGGAGAGGAAAGGTTAAGACTTGGAGGGGTACGAACTGGAGTCAGGAGCTAAGGGTTGAGATGCTGGAGTTGGGAGCAGAGGGGTCAAGTCAGTAGGCTGCCAAGGCACCAAAGGGTTGAGGAGTGGGCATCAGGACCTAAATCTTTTAGGAATGGAGGAGTTAAGGGCCCAAGAGGTTAAAGTCCTACAACCAGAAGACAAGGGTTTGAGGAATTGGGATCTGAGAGGCTGAGTTGCCAAGGTGTCAATATGGTGAGAGGTTGAGGTACCAGTATCAGCATCAGAATTGTCTCAGTACCAAGGGGTCAAGGCATGGAGAGGTGAAGGTGCAAGACTCAGGCATAGTGGGGTTGTGAGGTGTATCAGGGTGCTTGATACTCCTTGGTACTCTTTGAGGGAAGGCAGGCTGCGGGAGAAGCAGGCTGCAGGTGAGGAAGAGGGTAGTAAAGGGACTGGATGTATTTAAATTGGCTGGTCTGGATGATCTCCATCCCAGAGTGTTGAGGGAATTAGCTGAGCTCATTGCGGGACCCCTGGCACAGCTTTATCAGCACTTGTGGTGCTCTGGTGTGGTGCCAGAGGACTGGAAGAGGGCCAACGTGGTTCCCATCTTCAAAAAAGGGAGGAAGGAGGATCCAGGAAACTATACACCAGTTAGTCTTACCTCAATCCTGGGTAAGCTTTTTGAGAGAATTATCCTGGCACATGTCCACGAGGGGCCAGCAGGGGAGGTTATGTTTAGGGGCAACCAACATGGGTTCGTTAGAGGCAGGTCCTGTCAGACCAACCTGGTGGCCTTCTATGACCAGGTCACCAAATCCTTACATGCAGGGATAGTAGTGGATGTAGTCTTTCTGGACTTTAGGAAGGCCTTTGATACTGTCTCTCACCCCATTCTCATAAAAAAACTGGGGGACTGTGGTGTCGACACCTACACAGTCAAATGGGTCACCAGCTGGCTGGAGGGCCGCACCCAGAGAGTGGTGGTGGATGGGTCATTTTTGACCTGGAGGGATGTGGGCAGTGGGGTTCCGCATAGCTTGGTCCTTGGGCCCACACTGTTCAACATCTTCATCAGTGACTTGGATGAGGGGGTAAAAAGCACCCTGTTCAAATTTGCTGA